CAGAGGCGGCGTTTGGCACCCAAAGTGGAACCAGGGGAGGCTCGTTGTGGACTAGAATTAGATTGGGAAAAGCCGTGGCGTGACCAGGTGTTCGGGGCCAAGATGAGCGAAACAAACAGCAACAGACGTCTGTTTTTTTCTAGGGATTCAGAGGCGGCGCTTGGCAGCGAAATTGCAACCAGGGGAGGCTCGTTTTGGACTAGAATTAGATTGGGAAAAGCTGTGGCGTCACCAGGTGTTCGGGGCCAAGATGAGCGAGACAAGCGGCAACAAACGTCTTTCTTTTGCCAGGGATTCAGAGGAGGTGTTTGGTAGCGAAAGTGCAACCAGGGGAGGCTCGTTTTGGACCAGAATTAGATTGGGAAAAGCTGTGGCGTCACCAGGTGTTCGGGGCCAAGATGAGCGAATGAGCGAAACAAACGGCAACAGACGTCTTTTTTTTTCTGCGACCACAGGAGGTCCGAAGCGGGGGCCTGTCCCACGACCTCCACGACGATTTTTGCTTCTGTTCTGGCACAGAATGCGCCATGTTTTTAGGCTGCAACATTCCATGCCTCACAAGAACAAGCCTTGCCGTTGGGGGTGCGGTGTTTGACTCGAATTCGTCCATGGGGCTTGGCTGACAACACGCGCACACCACAGCGTGGACAAGTGTGCTCGTGTTGGCGACCAGCAACGACACCGTCCAAGACACGAAATGTGTGGCCGCACTTTCCTCGATGGTGGACTTGGCCAGTGTGTACCCCACTGTGGCATGGAAATTTGCAGCGTGGGCAGATGTATTCATACAGCCTTGTCGGCGCCACTGGGACCTGAATTCCACGATTCACCCCGGGCACCTCCGGATCGAATGCGCGGCCATGTCTGGGCGCGTGTGGGTGCGCGCTTGTTGTGGATTGTTTTCCTGGTTGGGATTGTGGTGTGGGGAGATTCTCTGTTGTGGCGTGGCCTTTGGTTTGACGACTACTGTGCGGGACTGTGCTCGGCAGTGGCTCGATAAACGAATGTGGGGTCGCGTGTGGTGTCACGACGCTTGCGCTGTGTTTGGGGCGCTTTGCAGCGGCGGCGTCCTGTGTGCCGGAGTCCGTCTGAGCCAGACGTTTGCGCGCGTGGACTTCCCTCGCAATGAGATCTTTGATTTCTTGCAGGATTTGTTCTCGGTGGAGTCGTTGGCGCAGCGACGCAACTCGCGCGTTGCACTTGGATGCGATACGCTGCCGTTTGCGACGCTGCGCTTGTCTTGTGTCACATGCGTCACACATCTGGTGGCCATTTTCCCCTGATGGCTGCCGACGCAGGAAGGTGTGGTATTGGTCGCGTTGTTTTCGTTGCTGACAGCCGGCGCAAGTCCAAAAGCCACGTGTTTTGCGTTGACAGGTGAGGCACTTTCGGCGGCGCTCTCGACATCTCCACGCAGCAGCGCTGAAAAAGTCTTTGGTCAGATGTTTCTGGCACACGACGCACGGTTTTTTGGCGTCACATGAGAGACACACGCGGTACGCACCGCAGCGTGGATTCAGATGCTTTGAGGGAAAGTGGCTGGCGGCATGCCACAGACCACATTGGCTGCACCGGTATGGAGTGCCTGCATCACGTTTTTGCGACGTGCACTCCTTGCAAACGCGGTGGCTGTCTTGGTGCCACTGGCCTTTGTGAAACCGTCTTTCCGCTTCCTTTCATTGCATTCCATACATGGCCTCTCATCAAGGTATTTGTTTCGCAGGGCATCCCAGTCAATTCGTTCTTGTTTCCAGACGTCCAGCAGCAGCTGCCGTCCCAATGGCAGACCTGCTTGCAAAGGCGCCAAAGGAAAAGGACGGTAGATAAGTAGTTTTTGCCGCGAGCGGCAACGCGTCATTCCGAC